CCTGGACCACCGGATGGGCTGTATCAGAACAGGATGGCCCCCCGCTCACTGGAGAGACAAGGATTCATCCTAGATGACCTCAGGGGCCCGAGATTTGGAGAATGGTGCCGTTGGCCTGCATCCGGCACAGAGAGCAGCAGGGCCGTCTTGCCCCTTGGCCCTCTCCCAGGCCCTGGCTGAGCTGGGTCCCTGCAGAGTGCTCTCAAGGGGCCAGTCCTCAGCTTCCCAGGTCAGAGAATTCCCAGGATGGGACAGGTCATAGCTGGCTTCTGGCTCATTCTGGAATTTCCCATTTCCTGGGAAGAGGGTGAGGTCAAGTTTCCTTTATCTTTGGCTGAGAACAATAGGATCCAGCCTGGGGAAGGTGTGCTGGAGCTGTCGGGATTTCTAGGTGTTCAGAGTTCTGGTCACTAGGAGAGCTGGGTGCCCTATCTGCAGGTGTCCTGGGGCATCGGGCCCAGCCAATCACTCTCCTCCTCTGATGCCTCAGTGTTCCTGGAGAACTGCCCTATCTCGAGCCCCCGTGGAGCTGAGCTGAGCACTGCCCCGACTGTGAACACCTGGCCGAGTCCCTGCATCTCTCCCAGTCCTCATGTCAGCCTTCCCTGCTTCCTTACAGCCACTGGGCTACTGTCACATCCATATTCTTCCCAGAATCTTGGCATCCCTTCCGGCTCCCAGTAGGGCACCTGGCGTACTGGGGTTCACGATACGTTTGCTGAATTGCTGTCTGTGGCTTTGTGCGCTGTCCCCAACAGTCTTCCCCTCATCCTTTCACGGGGCCCATTGCTTCTGCATTTCAGGAAGATTGGACCCAGGGGCCAGACAAACTAGACCCTGTCTCTGAAGTCAGGCCTTCGGAGCTGATGTCTGGCATGACCTATGGGATGGCCTTCCCCACACCCTGACATACCCTCACTCTTCACTGAAGAAAGCCAAGCAGGCCAGAGGTGGTCTTCATCTCCCCACTGGGGGCCTATGGGCTGTCGGGGACCTTCTCCCTCCAAAGCAGCCTTTGATCTCTGTCGTAACCTGCTTTCTGGACCAGCTGAAAGCTTTGTGTGTATGTGGTCAGGGAGGTGGAGTGAGCGGGTGTATGCATGTATCTATGTATTAGAGGGGTCAGGCCCGCACACGTGGTCAGTTTCCTAGCTCTGCACCCACAGCTCCCAGTGCCCACGCGTCGGATGACTCACTCGCGCGTCCCACACCCACATGCCCTTTAAGAAGACAGGGCTTCCTAACCATGGCACACGAGTGCATTATTCTGGGGAAAGGAATGATGCTGCTGTGGCCAGGGGAGAGCAGCTCGAGGGGCTGAGGGCACCAGTGTTCTCAAATCCTCACCGAGGAGAGGCTCTGATCTAAGGTGAGCCCTCCCTGCTGGGAGAGCAAAAGAAGCGGCGCGACACGGTTTGCTCAAGTGACATCTTTCAATATAATCTCTAAAACTCTATGAATTGAACAGATAAAATACCTCTGGGCTATTTCGTTACAAAATATTTGCCATTTGGATTAGTTGCTGGGGGCAGCCACCCTGCCTTTCCCTAGAGAGGTTTCTCTCTGATGGGCGAAGGGTGTGCGGGGAGAGGGTGCAGCGGGAGGTATGTACAGCAGACACAGGGACGGACGGACAGATGGTCCTCAGGGACGCCTAGTAGGTACAAAGAGACTCCTGGCTGGCCACGGGGGCTGGTGGCAGGGGCCCGAAGACGCAGAGCTGATCAGCGTGTGCTGGATCAGACACTGTGGAGGCAGGCAAGCAGCTGTGGAGATAGGCAGGCAGGCTTCCAGGACAAGCTGCCAGCAGGCCCCCTTTCAGATCTAGGAGTGGGATTTCCCTTAAAAGTGGGCGGAAAACTAGTTTCATCTCCATTCCAGACTGGAGTTGGGGCCAAATGGATCAAATCAGGAGAGGGGCCCAGGTTTCCCTAAGGTCTAGGGAGTGGATGGAGTGGGGCCATCTTGGGGTGATTGGGTCTGGGGCTCAGTCAGCCCCCTACTCTTCCTGCAACCTTGGAAGAGCAGGAAGGCCCAAGGGCACCTGCAGCCAGGCCTCTGCCAGGGCTGGAGGCCCTGCCCTGCCTGCTGTCCTGGGGAGGGAGCAGGAGGCTTTTCCCAGGTCCCTGAGGTCTAGGCCCTGGGGACGGGGACAGAGAGGGGCCCCAACCTTGGCCTGGGGACTGAGCAGGGAAGGGAGGTTACTGAGGCTTTCCCCTGACAATAAGGAGGGCCAGCTCTGTCCTACCCCAGGCCCTCAAGGGTTAAATGCCCCTCCTAGCTCAGGACTGGCTCCCCAGGGTACTGACCCGAGGCTGGGCTGCTTCATAGGCAGACTCCCTGTGCTGCCAGTGGGGCCCAGGGCAGCCACTGCACCAACCCAAGGGGTGGGCCTCTGCCCTGGGGCAGGGGCCTTGAGGTGCCCGATAGTCCAGGGTCTCAGATAGAGGCCCGCATGTGAGCCAGCCCTAAGACTTTTGCTAGTTCCAATTTGGAAGGCTGGGGCTTCGGCTGAAGTGAGAGGGAGGGCCTGGGGTTGCTGTGCCCCTCAATAGGGGAGAGGGCACTTTGTAAGCTTGAAGAGCTACGTGAGCAGGGGACGGGGTCCTGCCTGTCGGGCCGGGGCTATCTGGAGCAGTGTCCCGGGCCCCCACGGCCCCCACCCCAAGAGTATATTTAGCCAGTCTCATAGCTCCTCTTCCCCCGTACCTCATACTCCTGCCTCTTCGTCATTGTTTTCACTCTATTTTCAGCTTCCCTCATTTTAAGATTCCTCCACTGCCATCCTCACAACCCCACCTCCTCCCAAGTCCCTGACACCTCTTCTGCAGGCCTTCACTTTAAGGGCAATCCCTGCCCTGGCCAAGGGCATCAGAGGTGTCTGAATTTGTGCACCACATCTGCCAGCTGCTCCCTTCCGAAAGGCAATGACTGGAGCCGCTCTGTTACGGAAAACAGAGGAGGGCCAGGGCAGCAAGGAAAGGGAGGAGCAGACGGGCTGGCTGCTGCAGGGGAGAGGGCGAATTGGCTGCAAGTTATAGAAACGGGGCCGACAAAGACAGGGCCAGAAATAGACTCACTGGGTGACATCACAGTGACGTCCGGGTGACCACACACACACCCACCCCCCCACACACGAAACAAAACTAGGTCATCTGGAATCTCTGAGAGCAGGGAACAAGCCTTGCCTCCTACCTGGCCCCGGCTACTGCAGGTGGGGCTGGGCGGGGGTGGGGAGATGCAAGTCCATGTTAGACTTGATTCGTGTTCACTGCCTCTCCCAGGAGGCCTTAACCACAGGCTCCAAGTTGCAGGGGGACCTGCACACAGGACAGCAGTGAGCTGCTGGCACAGGGCTGGAGCCTGGCCGGGCTTGGGACAGATTCGACCTGATAGGGCCTGACTGAGAAGGCCATGGTACGGCTCCTGTGGTCTCTGGGGCAGCTGCCTCTCCTCTGGCCAGGGAGGGGCCCTTCCTCAGGCTTGGGTTTGTGGAGCCGCCTGAGGCTGGCTGTCCCATCCTGAAGGGGTGATCTGGGCCCTGGGAGGTCAGTGAGCCCTGCTTGGCTCTCCTTTGCAATTTTGAGGGTCCAGGGACTCTTGGGCACCCTTGCTGGAGGAGGTGTCTAGAACCTTTCAGGAGGGGGAAATATTTAAAGGCTGAGGGGCACAGGGGAAATGCATATGCCTTTGGAGCCCCTGTTTTTCTTGCTTACCTCTGGAGGCCACAGACTCATGCAAGAGGGACCCCTGACCTGGACCAAACCCCGCCTCCACTTCTGCTTCCACAATGGAAGAAGTGGACCTGGTTCTCATGCATGTTCGTGTGCACGTGCCTCTGAGCACATGGCACTGGCTGGGTACTAGCTGGGGCTAGGGAGCTAGGAAACTCTTTAAAAAGGTGCATTTGCAGATACATGACCTCACAATCCCATGGCCCTGTTGAACCGACCGACAGAGAGCTAAAAGTGCTCCCCTTCCCTCCTCCCTCTCTCTAAGCTTTTCTGGGGTCTGGGCAGCTCCTGAGGAAGCAGAGGTCCTGCGAAGAGGGGGAAGAACACGGTCAGGAAAGCCAATGTCCCTGGGGACCAAGGAATAGCCTCCTGAGAGTGCCAGGCTTGGGGAGTGGGGCCAGCAGAAAAAGTCCCCCTCCTCACTCCTCGCACCTTCCAGGGAGCGGGAGCAACCCTCCTCCCCTCAGCATAGCCACAGAGGCGCTTGTCGTGGGCTGTGAGCCAGAGGCCTTCTGTCTAGTGTTCCGCTGCCGCCCCGTGGCCTGAGGCCCCCACCCCCGGCACTAACAGACTCAAAGCCTGCCAGCTAGTTAACCCCTCGGCTCCAGTTTTCTTCATTCCATGGTCCAACGGAGGAAAGTGGCGGCCAGGGGAAGTGGTGGCCCAGGAGAGTGAGGTGGTATCTCCAGATCTGGAGGTGGGGTGCAGCTGAGAAAGGGAAGGATGGTTGGATGAGGCAAACCCAGGTGCCAGGGGTTGGGATTCTTTTCCCAAAATGATGGCGATCAGTGACCAGGAACGCATCGTGCCAGGGTATGGGGAGCAGCGGAGCGGCAGTGCAGGCCCCGCGGTGGCCAGCCCTCCCCGGACAGCAGGGTAGTGGGGCAGAGTCTACACCAGGCTCCTTGAGCCACTGGAGTAGCGGCGTCGGTGCAGCAGGGAGCCTGGTGGACAGAACTGGTGAGGGTGATTGTAGGGGGGTGGGGGCGGGGGCAGCGGGGGCTGGTGGATGACCTTGACCGGGGAGCCGGGGCCGCCCAGGGGTGTGGAGCCGCAGGAGTCGGAGGAGGACGAGGTGTAGCAGGAGAGAGCCTGGCTCAGCAGGGGCTCCATGCGGGCCAGGCAGGGCTTGTCCAGGACAATGACCTTGACAATTTGCTGGCACTGTACCAGGGTGCCCGGGGGTGTGGGTGGCGGCGGCGGCGGCAGCGGCGGTGGGGGCTGCTGTCTCAGGGGGCTAGGCTGCAGGTCTGGCGGCAGTGCCGGCGCTCCCTTCTCGGCCCCCAGCCCGGAGTTGTGCTGGGACGTTTGAAGCCTGTTGTGAATTGACACCTAGTTTAGAAACAGCCAGAGAAGCATGAAATGTTACAGGACTAATTCCCAGCTGCTAGGACAGGCTGCCCTGAGCCTCCCCTGGCCTCCCTCCCACTCTCAGCCCTCACTCCGACCCTCTCCCCATCTCTCCATCTGTAGGAAGACTGGCTTCTGACCCTGGCTTTTGCCTAGGAGGGAAAGAGGAGTCAAGAGGCTGGCATGTTCTGCCACTGACCGTGAGCGGCGTCCCTCTGCGGCCTCAGTCTCCTCATCTGTGAGGTGGGCTCTGCATAGCTCTGCACCTGACTTCATGGACCTGCTGGGTGTCTCTGGGCCATGGGAAAACTCCTCTCCACCTCCTTTTCCACCACTCTCTGAGCTTGAAAGCCGGGGTCATGGTCTTTGCCCCTCCCCACCCTCCAGGAGTGTGTTGAGGCAAAGGAGGTCAGACCCAGAGATAGAGCCAAGCATTTTGGAGCCGTTCATGTCCCTCTGTTCCCTCCAGTCTTGTTACAGAGGAAGCCTCTTTGGCATCTTTAACATCATAAAGGCTTAAACCCCAGAATGCCAGGGACCCCTGAAGGGGTGATCTGGACCTACCTGTCCTCCCAGACTCCCCAAGGCCATGACCCTGCAGTTGGAGAGCAGCCCAGACAACCGAGGGCAGAGCCAGCTCCCCAGCTGCCATTCTGGCCCAAGCTGGGTCCTGGTTAACTTGCTTGGCTGCAGGAGGCTATCCCCAGAGAGGGCTCTAACCTTGATCCCCAAGGCAGGGCAGGAGGACGTGGCCCAGATGGCGCTCATGAGCCCCCTCCCTCAGACCGTGGAGGTCACTATGAACTAGCCTGGCCTCCCCTTACTAGCAGGGGGAGGGGGAGGAGATGGGTGGAAAGGAGGCTAGAGGATTCCGGGGGGAGAGGGATTTAACTCCTCACACTGTTCCACCCCAAGCTGTCCTGCCCATGGCGAGGACGCCGCGCACCCCACTCCAGACACCTGGGTCCTGTGGGGGAGGCTGAGACCCCCCTCCTCTCTGACGATTTTCCTGTTGGACTGCCATCTGTCCTCAGGCAGCAGCACCTTGGGCTGGTGCTCAGTGCACAGAGTGGGAAATGGAAGTTGCTGAGGAGGTACCTCGCCCAGGCCTAGACCCAGCTGGCCCAGCCCAAAACTGTCCCGGCGCCCTAAAGCAGCATTTCCTCATCCTATTGGCTACAGGTGCAATTCAGGGAATCCCTTTCCCGGACCTGTGCACTCCTAGGGACGGCTTCCCTCCCGAGCCCCCAATATTCACGAGCCCTCTGCCACACTCGGCATGTTGCAGGCTTTATTCTTCCTTCTCAGCCTCCAACCTCGGCACATTTTCCAGGCCTGAGGTCCTGCTACACAAACGAAAGGGGCCCTGAGCCCCTCAGTGTCCTGAGACATGGCAGGCAGAGAGCATGGCTGGGGCCCCCCTCCCTCCGGGGAGCCCTCCAGGGTCCTCACTCAGGCAGAAGCCGCTGGAGGGCACGGGCTCCTCTCCCCTCCTGCTTGTATTCTGAATTCCTCCCCAGGAGCCAGGACAGGCTTGTGCTCATCTGCCTTCCTCTGCGGGGACCTCGCAGCGGCCCCTTCCCAGGTGAATTTCTGGCTGTTCCAGTCCAGACCCACTGAGCCGTCCTTCCCTCTGAAGCTCCCTGCACAGCACCTGCTCGGGGCCATAGCCTGCACCTCCCATTCACCTCCCGTGCTCTGGTCCCTCCACTGCACCCCCATCCCCATCCCAGTTTCGATCCTTTCTCTTTAGTGGTCAGTAAGTGAAAAGCAGGAAGTGACAGCAAAAGGCTCTCTCATCTGATCCCCTTCTCACCTCCCTGCTCATGAAAGAAAGAATGAAGGGAGCCGGGAGACAGAGGATGTAACATGAGCAGCAGGTCAGAACAGCTCAGAGAAGATGGAGAAGCGCCTGCCAGAGGGGCTTGGTCAGCAACGGCAGAGAGGGCAGAGGAGAGAGAGCTTGGGGTCCAGCTGAGGCCATGGGTGGCGAGGCTGCCCTCTGTGCGGGAGAGCAGAGGCTGGCGGGGCCCTGGAGCTAGCTGAGGGTGGCAGCCTTGCAGATAGCCACATGCCCTTAGGCAGGGCAGGAGGGAGGAGTGCGTCAGCCTGGTTGTCCTCCCTGGGTAGCTCAGGCTAGGGCAGGGCAGGGCTGGCAGAACAGAACGGAGAGCTGGGCACGTTTGTGCTTATCTGCAAGGCTCAAGAATGGGCAGCTGCAGAGGATGGGGAGCGGAGGGGCCGGGGAATGGAATACCCACCCTGGGGGCTTGTCAGCTGCTGGGGCAGGAAGCTCCTCCTTGTAAAGGTGCCTCCTCCAGACACGGGTGTGTGGGGGGTGGGGGCCGTGGGAGAGAGAGAAGACACTGAGCTCCCCTGGGGTATCCTGCTGCTTCCCAGGGCGTAGTCAGACCGGTGAGTAGGGCGTCTTCCTAAGACACCTAATGGGGGCCCCTCTGGCTGGAAGTAGGGGTGGGGAAGGGAGGTGTCTGTATGAGCAGCTGGTGGCCCTGGGAGGCCTGACAGAAAAGGAGTGTAGCTGGGGCTACTGGGGTGCAAGAGGAACCAGTGGGAGAGGGGTGGGGCTCACGAGGCATGTAGGGCCACCTGCATGCTCCTCCTATAGGTGGCACTGTGGGCGCTTAGCAGGGACCCCTGCTGCTGGCTCCTCTACAGTCTCTTGCTATGTGGCATGGAGATGGGCAGCCTCCCCTCCAACCACGGACAGTCTTCAGGGTTAATCCTCTCCCCTCAGGGAAGCCCCCGAGGCATCCCCACCCTACTCTGTCTCAATTTCTTTTAGACACATCCCTACGCTGTGGCCAGCTTTCCAGAAGGACCAGCAGTTCCAGGGAAGAGCTCCCTCTCCCAGCTGCCCCCAAGTTGCAATTCTCCAGCCTAGCCCCAGGTGTCCAAAAGGGCGGGGTCTGCCCCAGAAGTGAGTGCTTCGCTTGGGGCCTGACCTCTCTCCGGAGGGAGCCGAGGCTCCCTGCTATGGAGGGTGGGAGGACCCCGGGGAAGGCGATGTGGGGTCCTCTGATACAGCAAGTACTGGCGGAGCAGTGAGCAGTGGGCATTTGCTGGGGAGGTAGATTTGGGGGCACACCGGAAGGATGGCCCTAGGGTGTCGTGGGCTCTGTCTCCACTGTGTTAGTCTGGGAGCTCGGCCTCGGAGGGCCGTGGGCTGGGGAATGGGGAGAAAGAGCTCGCGGCTTAATTAGGCGCGGGAACAGCGGCGTTACCCATGCTAGCAGTAACTTTTAACTGTATCTCTTGAAATTGGTAAAATGGTGAGTCGGGCTGGGGAGGCATTGATTAATACCTGAGAAGAGAAACAACAGAGACCGTGAGAAGGAGGACAAGGGGGCAGGGAGTCACTCACCTGGGCAACCAGGGCTCCACTTACCTCCACCGTGCTCTCCGCGGGCTTCTCCCTGAGCGTGGCTTCCCTTTTGGCTTTGAATGCAAAGAGCACAGGGCTCATTCTCCACTGGCTGAGCCAAGCCCCTGCCCCTCCCTGGCGCCCCTCAAGTACCTCTGCAGCTAAGACTCAGGGTCATACTGCTCCCCACTGAGGTGGAGGTTGGGAGCCCCACTCTGCCACTTAGGAGCTGTGTGACCTTGGGAGCTACAGGCTGCATCTCCCTGGACCACCACAGACTAGAAGCTCTCTGCTCTTCTTTCCGAGGCTGGCATTGTGGAATCTGATTTACCCACAGTCGAAGCCTTCCCAGTGCAGACTATGAAAGCTGGCTTGGAGGGGCCCGGGCTGTGGGTACCACGTTCATCAGCCTCCGTGGGTCACGGGCTCCTTGAGTGTGGGCCACACTGCTTTGCTCCCACCTCTGCAGACTGGCTGAGTGGGGAGGACCGAATGGGCTGAGTCCTACATGGCACTCACAGCAGTGCCTGGCACAATAAGAGCTCATAATGGCTCTGTAATTACTCCCAGGGCCTCCTGACTGGCCTGGCACAGCAGCAGGGACCCTGTGGAACCCCACAGACAGCTCCTTGGCTCTTTTTAGCTGAGTCACTCCTGGCTTCCACCCCCACACCAGAGGGAGCCCCACTCATTTCCCAACTCCCCCGGGGTGCCAGTTTCCTCCTGCTGTGCACAGCCTCCGCTTCCTGCAGCACTAGAGGGAGCTGCACCATTGTTTGGGAATGAGAAACACCCTGCTGTGGAGGGGACTAAGGGAAACGTCCCTGGGAACAGGCATCTGGGCCTAACCAGGGCGTGCCCGCTTCCAGAAGAGAGGCAGGAGGTGATGGCAGGGAATGACACGCAGCTGAGGGCTGGCTCTGGGGTTTCACAGCTGAGAAAACAAGCAGCGACCCGTGTCCTATGACCTTATGGACAGGAAGAGCCCGACTGAAATCAGGCAGCAAGGAGAATTATGGACGCATCATGGCAGGTCAAACCCACAGAGGGAAGATTCCATCACAGTGCGAATCTCCATGTAGCGAGAAGAGCCCCATGTCCTGCCTGGAGAGTGAATCTCGGTCCCTACGCTGTCTGCTGCAAGTCAGGTGTCAGGGCCAACTGTGGCGGGCCACGAACCGCACGGAGCCCACTGCAGTTTCTCAGCTCAAGCTGGCCTCCCACTGGGACCCTGCTCTTCCAGTGCTCTGCACAGGGCAGCAGGCACTCCAGAAGCGTTTGTTGAGGGTGAGAGAGTGATTGAGTTGACTAACTGGTCCACGATTGTGGATGGCTTGCTGGGATTTCACGGGAATGAGACTGGATGCATCTCTCTTCATTCTCTTTATTTGGGGCTGGAGGAGGGGAGATGGTAGAAACCTTGCCTGGCCCTCTGCAGGTGAGGGTGAGCTTGGGGTAGGAGGTGGAAGGTAGGGCACCTTGGGGGGCAGAGGGCGCAGGTCTAGGGAACCTAGCCAAAGGAGGTGCCACCTCTGGAGCCAACTCGACTCAGCTGGAGTGAACAATTGAACTGGAGAAACCATTAGAGAAGTGGAGTTCGAGGGTCTGTCTGGATTTGGGGTGGGCTGACCTGGGCCAGGGATTAGGGGTGCTTGTGGCGGGTTAGTGAAGGGACTGCATAGAGAAGAGCAAGATCCAGACCCTTCTGGTCACCCTGCCTTCTCACCCTGCCTGGCTGGAGAGTTTTCCTCATGGGGTTTCTCTTGACCTCGCCTGCCAAGGGAGCCTGACTGCGGAGGGAAGGCCCCCTGCTGGGGGTGGGCTGCCAGGACTCTTGCCTGACTCCACCAGGGCAGACGCTGACATCTCACATGGACTCTAGAACTCTGGTGCAGTTTGCAAAATGGACAGACACATTTCTCTCTCGCCTTCCTCCTCACTCCCACCACTAAAGCCCATGAGATTAAATAAGGCAAGCCTGGCGCTCCTCAGCAGAAAAAAAACAGCCATGGGAACGGGCAGCTCTCCCCAAAGGTTCCCCAGGATCCACACCCAGGGTCCCTGAGTGGCCTCCATGTGGGTTGGTGCCCGGGGCAGAGCCCAGGCTCACCTGTCGGCGATCCTTGCTTTGACTGCGGGTCCCCCTGGGCTCCACTGGGCTTGAAGGAGAGTGTCTTTGTTCCCTGCTGCTCCTCCAGCTCCCCTAAGGAACGGAGAGACCCGTGAGCAAGAGAAACGCTAAGCTCAACTGACAGAGGTGAGGGAGGAAATGAGGGGCAAGTGGGAAGGGAAGGAAGCAGAGGAGGGGTCCCAGTACCTGCTGTGAAACACACACCTCAGGTCGGGCCCCACCACCGAATATCGAGTCAAACACCCCCTCAGAGCCGCGGTCTCCTCATCTGTATGTGGGGATGATCATATCTGCTTGAACGTCAGAGAGGCACAGAAGAGGCTGATGATGTGAGGGAGGTGAACTGCCTGGGTGTGAATCCTGGTTCTGATGCTCCCTGGCTATGTGGCTTTAGGCAAGTTACCCAAACTCTCCACGCCTCACTTGAGGGGACAGCTGTGCCCACTTCAAGGTGTCATTAAGAGGACCGCGTGGAGAAATACATGTAAAGCACTGAGGACAAGGCCTGGCTAGTTCCTTGTAAGTATTAAGGTTCGTGTGAAAGTAATGGCAAAAACCGCAATGACTTTCGCACCAACCTATATCAGTTTTGTTACAGTGTGTGAGAAGCACCTGGTCCAGCACAGCTCTCCACCTGGCACCTGGGACGACGCAGCCTGCCTGGCCGGCTGAGCCTCCACAAGGTGTTCAAAGCTCTCCCAAGGAGGAAATTCCACACCCAGGGTATGGAAGCTGCAAGCCTGTGGTGCCAGGACATCTCCTGGGTACTCAACTTTAACTCCTCTCACTGGACCAGAAACCTGTTTCTTCTTGTTCTTCTCTCAGTGGAGTTATGGAACTGCCAGCTGTCATCCTTGGAGATTTGACATCATTATTAAATCACTCCTCCGGCTTCTCTTTTCCGGGAGACATAACTCAAGTTCCTTTTATTAAAGCTACTCTCCTGGGCTCCACTTTCAGTCTCTCTGGTTGTGTAGAAACCAAAGACACTGAACTGCAGGCCCCAAACCAGAGCAATTTGTCCTGATTGCCTAGATCACACCATCGATCAATGCTAAAGTTGTTTCTCTCCTCCCAGAGGGGCTCTCTTGGCTTTGGAGAAATTAGCATCATAATTACAAGTGAGAAGTCCTGGGCCACTGGATGCAAACCTTGTTGTGTCACTGCCTGGGAACTTGGACAGCTTCCCTAGACTTTTAGCCTGTTCCCTTATTTGTAAAATGAGGAAAATAATACCCACTATGGAAACCTATTGTGCCCATTAGTCAGCCCAGTGCCCGGAATATAAGTCCTCAGTGAACGGTAGCTGATACTGTTTTTCATTTTCTTTTTTCTAGAGATGAGGCCTTGCTGTGTTGCCCCGGCTGTTCCTGAGCTTCTGGGCTCAAGTAATCCTCCCTCCTGAGCTTCCCAAAGTGCTAGGATTATAGGCAGGAACCACTGAGCCTGGCTCATTTTCTTTCTTCTTTTTTTTCCCCTGGCTTTCGTTCCTCCCTGTCCTGCCCTTCCTCTTTCCTCAGGTGTTCCTTCCCTTTGTCTCCAGCTGAAGGCTGAGAGCCAGTGATAAGCCTTTCTTCTTGCTCTTCTACCCTTGAGGCGGCAGGAGAGGATATTCACCTCCCGACATAACAGATTCTGACACTATCTGCTCCTCTGTGACTTTGTGAAGCTGGGGACATGCTGTTCCTGGGCTGATGGGGGAAGGTGCCTCTCCGAGCAACGCTGGTGCCACTTGGTGTGCTGGCCCCTCAGGGCAGTTCAGAGCCATCTGGGACAGTTAGACAATGAGAGAAGTGAAGGTGCCTTCTTGAAAATGCTTCAGAACAACAGCAGAAGCAGCCTCTCTGGGCATCCAGTCCAGCCCTTGAAAAGAATCTGTTTCACCACTGAATTCAAATAAGCTAACAGATTGAAGAAAGCGAGTTGACATGCACCCCTCCCCATCAAGCAGTTACCTGAGTTCCAGAGTCTGGTCTAATGGATCTCAGTTTACCCTGATTTAGATTGTTTCCTTAGAAAAAATAAACGAACATCTTCTCTCACTCTCAGAGTGGAAAGTACAGAATCAAATGAAAATAAAACTGACAACTCCTCCGCTTCTAACACGGGAGACCTGGACACACGGCTTAACTCCTCCGAGCCTCAGCTGTCCCGTGGATCAATGCACCTACCTTTCAGCATCACCATGAGGACCCACAGCATAGAAATAAACTGCTAAGCACATAGTAGGTGCCTCAAAAATGGTGATTCAAAAGCACCAGCCTGTCACATTGATCCCCTGCTCAAAAACTCCCACTACCTTTCCTAGTGCCTGATGGATAGATATTAATTTAGAAACACTTTTAATTAAGTGACCATCTAGGCAGGCCTGAAGCCTGTTTTCATTTTCTGTTTCAGTTTCTGTCTCCGTTCTTATTTAGTTTTCCCTTAAAGGCTATCTGGAGCTGCTGCGATAAGTACAAGCTTGCACGTGGGTATCAGTCGCAAGCGCTCGCCGCTCTTCCCTTAACCCCAAAGTGGCCAATAAACCACCCGGCCGCAGGAAGAGATCCGCATATTCTCTAAAATGCCCGATGGGAATAATCTAGAATCTAGGCCTTCCTTGGAGGAACAGAGAGACTTCTATGAGGGTAGTAAGAAGGCAGCCTAGATTCTTCAAAAGGACAATGCTGTAAAAAAATAAAGCAGAAAGATGATCCAAGATTAAAAGAGAGTGAAGAAATGAGGCTAACCAGATGCAATGCACAGACTTGGGCTGCAGTGGGGGAGGCTTCAGCAGAAGGTTTGGTGGGAAGAAAAAGCACTGGAGCCCCGTGGACCTGCCTGGCCAGCTCGCTCGGTCATCCTGGGAAAACGCAGCAGAACACTATTCCAAGAGGCCCACACGCAGCCCCACGTGCCTGCTGATCTGTGTACACACGTGTGTGCACTCCAGCATGCCTCACTTAAATCGTGAAGAAACATGAAAAGTGGTGCTCCCACCGGGCTGTGTGTGACTGGCAGCCAGCATGATGCGGGGGAGCCTGGAGATGGAGAGGGTCTGAAGTGGGGTCAGGGCAGGGCCACGCTGCTCCCTGGAATCAGGGGTGTCTGTCTCAAGCTGCCCCTGTCCCTTGCTGAATGGGAGCCCCCACCAGCTGCCTTGGGGAGTCCACATCCTTACACTCTATCCGGATCTGCTCCAGCTCTGTCACCTCAGCAATGGACTCCTTCAGGTCCTCTACAAACTTCTGCATCTCATCCGAGCCCAGGGCGCAGAAATGCAGCACCTGCTTCTTCTCGGAGCCCGAGAGCGGAGTCACCAGTGTGATGCCATGGGAGTAAACTGGAAAGCAGACCCAGGCCCCAGTGGGCTGTGAGCAGCAGCAGCTGAGGGCTGGAGCCAGCCAGACATGAGGAGGGCACGGGGCTTTTGGGGCACTCATGCCTCCATCCACCCTACTGTCCAGCCCTTCTCCCTCAGCTCGCCCCAGCCACTTCATTCATTCATTCATTCTCAAAAAGACTTACACTCGTTCTCAAAGAGGTGGAACTGCATGCCCAGCAGGCCGACTGACTTGCAGAAGGTATACGTGGAGGCGCTCTTCTTCTTTGGACAAAGTTTGAGAATCTGTTCAGGAGACAGACAGGCGCCGATGTGCGGACACTCATGGAAACACGCGTGTGCACACATGAATGCACAGACACCCAGGGGGGACACATGAGCACACAGGGAAACACGCCATGATGAACGTGCACGTACAGACACACATGCACATACACAGACACACACTACACCAAAATGTGCTTCCTCACTGCACAAAACCCTCCGGGGCCTGAGCTGGCCTGTAAAACCCATCTGACATGGTCCCTGCCTTATGCTGGCCATCTGCGCAAGCCACGGTGTCCTCCCTTCTGTAGCTTGAGAAGGGCAAGCTGAGTTCCACCGCAGGCCCCTCGCACACGCTGTTCCCACTCCACGCTCTCCCAGAAGCTTTCTGCATGGCTGCATGACTCTCATTACTTAGGTGCCAAACGCTGTCTCCTTAGAGATGCCTTCCTGGACCATCCCCTCTAAAACCCAAACCTGCCCCAGTCACTCTCCCTGCTGTCACCTGGTTTGCGGCCTTCATAGCACCTTCCCCCCAATCTGACAATATCTTGTCTGTTTTCTTAATTATTTTCTATCTCCCTCACCTACGGTTTATGGGATGTGGAGGAAGACAGTCAGAGTGCCCATCAGGTGATGAAACAATAAAGCCTAATAGCAAAAAGCCAAAACCAAGATGCTCAGTGTTTTGAAGAGAATGAAATAGGGTAAGGAATAGAATGTGACTGGGCAGGCCACCTCACTAGGTAGGCAGGGAGGGCCTCCCGGAGGAGGTGACATTTGATTTGAGACTTGAATGAAAAGAAGGAGGCCAGGAAGGCAAGAGGAGGGTGCAAGGTCTGGAGGAGCTTTGCAAGAAGGAGCAGCAAGAAAAAAGGCCTGGCCCGCAGGAGGGAGGTGGCTCACGGGGCTGAGGAGAGGGCGGGGAGGCAGGTCACGGGAAGGGGCCATGGGGCCTAATGTGCACTCCAGAGAGATCACACTGCTGCTCTCTGGGGAGGGGGGGTGAACCCTAGAGGTGGGGAGAGCCATGTGGAGGCTGGTGTGGGTTGCCAGGTGTGTCGCTGAACCTACTAGGCATGCACTAAGACTGTAGCAGTGTGGTGGGAGGTCGTTGAGGCTTGTGATCATTTTAGAGGCAGTGCCAATGTGGCTGATAGATCGAGACGGCCGGTGCGAGAGAGAGACAGACCTGAATTAGTCCTGCTCACTGTTTCCCAGACCTACAACGAGGCCAGCGCATGGCCAGCACTTATTAAATACTTGTTGAATGGATATCTGTTTTCAAACAGCAAAGAAAGAGTATCTATGGCTACAGATGTGTGCGTGTGCATGGGTGCGTGCACACACACACACACACACACACACACACACACACAGATACACCAGCCTTGCCTAGGCCCAGGGACAGAACACACTCCGCCGAGGCCCTGTTCCTCCCAGGCTCTGGGGTGTGAGGCACATACATCCCTGTGTGTTCCCTGCCCAGGGCTTCCTGGAGCGTGGAGAGGTCATACTGGGATTGAGCTCATTAACAGTTTGTGCAACCATGAGTCGATCATCTGACGTCTGCGTGGTGTCACCACTTATGAGTAGAAATTAGCACGTCTGCCTGAGCCCCCTCACGCCCACAGCGTGAAAGCACCGGGAAGGCAGATCAGTCCCACGGAGCAGGTGTTCTGTCTGAAACCCCTGGGTGTCCTTTCCTGTCCACTTCTGCAACCCCGCGCAGGCTGCTCAGGGCCGCAGGCAGCCCCCACCAGCCCTGCCCTGGAGCGGGGGCCACTCACCACCAGCAGGTCGTTGAAGAGGAACACCTCCCTCTGATGCGCCGCCTGCTTCTGCAGCTTGTTCACATCTGTCACCTCAAAGAGCCGGCTGCAGCACACCAGGCGGCGGTGGGGCACGGACAGCACCTGTGCACAGGGCGTGGCTCTCAGTGGGACAGCAGAGGCCTCGAGGCCTCCCCACTCATAGCGCCCACCTTCCAGAAGAGGAGATGGGGCTCGGGGAGAGGGGCGGACGTGACTCTCCCCCCTCCTCTCTCCTTGTCTGAGGCTCTTTTCCTCAAATGCTCACACCCTGTCCACAGGGCTCATGCTCATCATGTCTCCTGGGGAGCGGGGCCAGAGGAGAAGGGGTTCACTAAGTCCGAGTAAATGAGGTGACAGAGGGACAGGAACAGGAAATTGAGAAGAGCTTTCAGGCTGTTCTGATCCAGCCACTGTCAACCTGCTTCCCTCTATGACCTTGAGGGCATCCCCTGTCCCAGGCTGTGGCCTGCAGATATGACACTTTCACCCCTTGTCTATTGCACAGATGCAAGTGTGCAAGAATGAGGGGATCACAGGGACACCTGGCATCTACTCCAGCATGTAAGACAAGCCAGTTGCTTGCAACCAGACAGATGCTAAGATCTCAGCAATAAAGGCTCTCAAAGCAGAAGAGACTGTCCCTGCACAGACTGGGTAGAGGGAGCCCAGCTCAAAAGAGGTCTGCAAACTCCAAACTGCCCCCGAACCAGCAATTTAAGGAGGAAGAATTGGAACCCCCAAGACATCCTTTATATTTATAGCATAAAGTGGAGCAGCCTACAGAGGAGGCCCACTTTAAATATCACTGCAGGCTTGGAACATGCTGCCGGGGACCCAGGTCACTACCAATGGGGAACGTCAATGGTGATGCCACAGCCTAGAGCCTATTGAGCCCACTCCTGCCTTCTACTCATCAGAACCATCCAGGAATGCCTGGTATCCATGCTGTCCCAGGAAAGGGATCCTGAATCGCATCTGGCCACCCAGATGCTTCCACCCTAGACCACTGGGCAGTCCTTCTTGACATCGCATCTCACTCTCTCTTGCTGCAGTATCTGGTGGCAAGAAGCAATGAGGAAATGAGGCAAGAAAAAAAAAAAGAGATGCAGTGTCCGGCACACAGTAGGTACTCGGTAACTCCGACGTGAACGAATGTGAAGAAAGAGTTTTGGAAATGTAAGGAGGAGAATGGAAAGGGAGTTCAGGAAGAAAGGAGAGACAGGAGACGGGTGACTTGTGGACACTCACCGTCTTCATGCCCACGATGGACTTCTCCACCTTGGTGACGTACGTGACGTGGTCCTCATTGGACTTGAGCTCCTTCTGCTGTATCCTCTCGTAGATGCCTACCACCAGCTCCCGGGGGATGTCAGCGCCATCATCCACACCTAACAACGTGGAGCGGGCAGGGGCGGCGGTGGAGTTGGGCGGGGGGTGTGAGAGCCCCGGAGACAGACAGAAGAGACCCCCACCCAGCCTGCAGCACCTAGGGGGTGGCCTTGATTTTCACCATGCTGCATTTCAAAGCCTTCAATGGCTGGTGCCTCAGACCCATTAAATTAAGAACAAGCTCCTTAGCCGGGCACCGAAACTAACAATATGATATGGCCCCAACGCACATTTCCTGTCTCATCTCCCGATGTTCCTCAACCAGAGTCTTCGTGCCCACCTCCCAGGTCTCTTTCCTGATGGCCAAATACAGCCTCCGTGTTCCTGCTGACCCTCTGTGCCTCTGCGGTCCTACCATCTTGCTTGTGTTTGTCTCACCCCGCTTCTCCACCCTGATACTCCAGCATCCTGGCAAGGTCCCGTCTTGTACTCTTTGGGATCTTCCTCCTCCTGGGCCTCCCCTCCCCTCCAGTAGGGAGCGAGGTGTAGAGGGATTCGTTTATGAAGAGATTCCTCCCTCCCTGGCAGCAGGGGAGAGCAGGCAGACCCTATGGCAAAGCAGGCGAGGACACCCCATCCTGCCTCCTGCTTCGTAGTAATGATTAAACTCTGGCAACAAAAAAACACTGGCAAAGAACATGCCAACAGGCAAACACATTTCTTTTGGAGAAACAGGCAATTAAAATATCTTCTTTCTACTATTTCCACATCTTTCTTTAATGACTATATGCTTCTTTTATAAGAGGGAAAAATTAAAAATAAAACAACTTTGGCAAGCATCTCTCAAAGGAGCGTTCCCAGCTACTGAGAGGATACCGTGCCTTCTATGCACAGCTCCCTGCCTGGTCTGGCTTCTTCCACATCTGATCTTGGTTCTTCAAGTCAGGCAAATGAGCCATGCAGAGCCGGGGGACTGAAAGAAATCAGGCTGCCGGTAAGAAAAAGCAGGGAGAAAGCCTGAGTACATGGATGCCTCCAGTTCAGGATGGCAGGCTGCATGCCTCTGTTGCTTCTGAATACTCAGGAGAAAGGAATCTTTTAGAAAGGCATAAACCGACAAAGACAGAGAACAGGAGCAAAGACGCAGGCACCCCACGACCTAGAAAGTCGACAGGTGCGTGCATGGATTAGCAAACCCGAGAAAGCTGAAACCCAGACCAGCAGAGAGGCTAGAAGCCATGCGAACACCACATAGCCCCCAAAGGGCGAAGGTGAAGGTGGGCTGGAAATAGGAAAACAGGTTGAAAATGGGTTAGAAAGCTGCTGGGCTTCCCTATCCCCTCCTCACTCCAGCAGAAGACTGGGGGTCCATTCTCTAGAACTCTGGGCTGAGGAAGTCTACACCCAGGGTAAGGTGGGAGTCTGCTGAAAACTGGGGGATGAAGTTGATATCTATATATTAATCCTCAACCCCACTTCCCAGTTAAAGATCTCAGAACCCTGGCAGCCAGAATCATACATTTTGGGCAACAGATTGGACATTTATCTTCCGGGTATCAGCCAGAATGAGAAAAAAATATCTCATGATACTGCAGTGGGGGTCTCCCAATGAAATGGCTTAACTAAATCACCCTACGAGAAAGTCTACCAACGAGCAGCCTCCCCCCGTGCTCACAGAGGTGTTCATCAGCTTTCGGGCAGTTCGCTCTTAAATATTAATGAGCAGCCAGATTTCATCCACTGTATTCAGAAAGTCTATGCCATGAAAGAGAAAGAAATATGGGGTGGGGGGACAGAAGGACTCCAGAAGAAATAGAGGCAAGCAGGGAGAAACGCAAGCAAACAAACGAACCAATATTCATATCTTCACAGAGATGGGAGAAGATATTGCATCTGCAAAGCCAGAATTAAATGCGATAAAAGAGAAACATTGAGAGGACAAAAGAGAGCTATTGAGAATGAAAAACACGACAGCAGGAATGAAACACTTGGTAGGAGACCTGAAAGACAGCGCTGAGGACATGTTTACTGAAGGAAGTCAACAAAGATGGCAGGTAGAAAACCACAGACGTTAGAGGATCAGACTAGGAGATTCACCAACAGAATAACAGCAGATCAGGAGAGAGAGTCCAGGGAAAATGGAGGGCAGAAATGATCAACACAGCATTGAAGAAAACTTCCCTGGAGGGCATGAGTTTCTAGATGGAAAGGACCAATCTAGCCCTGGGCATGATGGAGGAAAGAACTGTACCAGTCCGTGAAAATCCAGAACACAAAGGGCAGACAGCAGAAACTGCAAGCTTGAGAGAGAGAGACAGAGAGAGAGAGAGAGAGCGAGAGAGAGCGAGAAAGCGAGAGAGAGAGAGAGCGAGAGAGAGAGAGAAAGAGTATTAGACAGGAGGCCAGCAGTGGGGATGGCAGAGCAGCATTGGCAGCTAAAAGACAGTGGAGGAATACCTTTGAAATCCCGATCAGCATGTTTTCAGGCTGCAATTCTATCCCCAGCCAAACTCCCAACCAAGGGCAAAGACAGAAGAAGACAGATTCAGAAATGCAAGTTCTCAAAAATGGCCTTTTCTCTGGAAGTAAACTAAAAATGAGGAAGCGCTGACATGCGGGAGCCGGGAATCTAACACGAGAGCGAGGAAAGGAGGCCTGGGATGCCGGCTGTCCCTGGCCCAGCCACCGTCCATGCCGGAGCAGGACCAGAGGCTCCCGGAAGATGACGCTCCTGCAGCACCTCCTGGGCCTGGATGTACGGAGAGGAGCTTGACGAGTAGGGTGGGAAGCTGGGGATGAACCAGAGGAGGCACACTGAGAGTTCAGTGTATGGAAAGAGAAGCATTAACTCCAAGGAGAGGTAGAGACAGAAAGGAGTTGCAATCATTCTGCACTTGCAGACTCAGCTTTGGAGTGTGAGCAGAGCCTTAATAACATGAACACTGACGTGACTGGGATGGGTCGGGGAAGGTGAATGAAAGAGGGCTAAACCCTTACTTTCTATAAAGAGGAATTCATAGATAATGCTTAAAATAAAAATAATTAACAAGGGCTCAACACGGTGGCCCACGCCTGTAATCCCAGCACTTTGGGAGGCCGAGGCGGGCAGATCACCTGAGGTCCGGAGTTCGAAACCAGCCTGGTCAACATGGTGAAACCTCATCTCTACTAAAAATACAAAAAATCAGCTGGGTGTGCTGGTGCATGCCTGTAATCCCAGCTACGTGGGAGGCTGAGGCACAAGTGCTTGAACCTGGGACGTGGAGGTTGCAGTGAGCTGAGATTGCACCACTGCACTGAAGCCTCGGCAACAGAAATAATAATTAACAAGGAGCAGTGTATAAAAGAGACCAGATACCAAAGCATAAATACTGTATATCCCTATTTAGATGAAGTTCAAGGACTGGTAGGACTCGTCAATGGTAACAGAAGGCAGAATAGTTGTTACTCTTGGGCAAAGGTATGGACTGGGACGGGACAGGAGAAAACATTCTGGGCAGGTGAAAATGACCCAGATCGGAATCCGGGTGTGAGGACACAGTGCACACGCACATAAACGCTCGCCCAGCTTGTGGCTTACACACTCACAGTATGGACTTCATGCCAGTTACAAAAAGACATAGGAAAAAACAAAGAAGCGGAAGCATGTGGTTTAGCCATACAGAAGAAATGTAAATCGCTAAAAACGTCCAAAATGGTTGCCCCTGAAGAAGGTGAGTAGGAGAGGGGCAGGGACTATTTTTTTTCCTGTGGTAAGCCTGTAGGATTATTTGACTTTATTAAATTATGTGCGCGTATGACTGATTCTTTTAAAGGCTAAAACATCACTTGAGCACACATCGCACTTTGCCAGTCCTGGTGTGCTCCTGGCAGGCAGTGTGCTGCACCAGTGAGAAGGACCTGCCGGCCGGTGCCAGAGAGTTATCTGCCGGGCTGACTCGAATGGACCCAGGACCTCAAGGCTCTGTTCCTGGCTCCTTCCTCATAAGTTGTGGAGGGGAAGGGCTGGCACCACTGAGCCACCAGTCTGATGTCAGGGGCCTAGAGCCAACCATGTTCCACAGAGGGCAAGAGGCACTGCCCAAGGTGCTTGTTGCTCTGGTGGAAAGTCCCCAGCCGCCTGGCACACAAGCAATGTTCCCAGCCTGCTGTGGGTGACCAGGCACAGAGAGCCGGTGACACTCTGTGGTAGGGCCGCACACTCATAGAATGCAGGCTGCACAGAACGGGGCCTGCACCGTGGCCTTGCCTCTCCTGGCCCTGTGCCCATCTCCTCACCTCGAAGGTTTCGGATGAAGTCTTCCAGCATCATCTTCCGGTCAGGCTTGATATTGGGGCTGTACATGTCGGTGTTGAGGAGGATGATGGCGAAGGCGAGGATGAAGATGGTGTCGGGGTTGTGGAACTGCTGCACCACTTCGGGGTTGCACATGCAGTAGCGCTGGCTGCGGGGAGGGTGAGAGGCAGAGCGATGCTGAGACCCCGCCCACCGTCCCTCAGGCCCCAGCAAAGGAGGGGAGTGTCCAGGGAGTGTCCCAGCTCTCCTTAGGTCCAGGAGACCATCCTCTACCATATCCTGGTCTTCCCCATACCCCCAAATGCCCCACGTTTCCAGCCTGGGGAGCTTGAGGGCTCAGTCCCTATTCTTTTCTTCACTTCTGTCTCCCCAGCCCATCCTCCTGCCCACACCAGAAGGGATGTTTCTGGCCCCTGCCCAAACCACCTGATAGTGCGTCTTGTCTTACAGAGGCCCGGCTTCCCCACCCTGGGGTCTGCTGGGGAGTGGAGCTGGGGAGTGGCCCTACCTGAAGGCCTCGATGAGCCGTTCCACCTTCTGGGCCTCCCCCTGCACACGGATGTGTGCCTGGAACTTACGCAGGGCCTCGTCCAGCTCCATGCTGGAGAAGTCCATCTCATCCACCACGCAACTGAGGGCAGGCAGGGAGCGCGTGAGGCCAGGCAGACCCCGAAGCACCCCTAACACCCATTCCTGCTGGCCTCTGTTCCCAGCCAGGATGGGTGCAGGGCCCCCAAGGCTACTCACCCCCAGGGGTCTCCCTTTAATGCCCCAAGAGGACTATCTCCTCCCACCTCCCATAGTAGACCTTCCAGAGCCCGAACCCTGAGGCCAGGAGAGGCTTCAGTGTGGACACAGGGGTGGAGGGAGGCCGAACTTCGGTGTTCCCACTCCAAATCCTAGTTCCTTCCTCCTTAACCTCAGAGTAGCTCAAGCAAAGCTTTCAACATAAATAATACAGTGAACACATTCGCTCTTCTGTCCCTTCAGAGAACTGCTGGGAGCCTGTGTTTCTCCCTGGTTTAAATTTCACTTTCTCATTTGGGTCTTGAGGCGGCTGAGCTCTCCCTTGGGTCCCCTCTGCCATAGGCTGAATGGTGAGGACTAGAGCCCCTCAAGCCCCTGGGACTCTCTGCAGCCCAGCCTCCTCCAACTGCCCCAGTGCTCAGGGGAGGCTGTGGTGGGAGGCGTGGCCTCTGAAAAGCAAATGACAAATGCGCTTAACGTGAGGACACAGTCGGACACACAGGGCCGGATTCTGGTCCCGGCCCTCTTGCGAACTTGATGTGACTCTGGCTCGCCCCCTCACTCCTGGGGTCTCCATGCGACCTTCCGAAAAGGGAGGATGCTGGAGTCCCTGCTCCCCAAGGGCCTTGCTACCTCTGAAATGCTGCCTCCAGCCCTAGGGGGTTTGCCTCTGAATGTCGGCAGCTTCAGTGTGAGTGTGTGGGGTCACATGTCAGTTCCCGCAGCTAAGCAGGCGCCTTCCTCTGGTCTAGCGCGATCCAGGGGGCTCTCCACTGCAGGGCTCGAGGGCGAACCCTCCCAGCACCCTCATCCTGCCTCACCTCCCTTTGGGGTGCTCTGTCCCCAAGGCCATGTACAGCGAGGAAGGAGTCCAAGCCTGGCAAAGCAGGGGACCCAGTGCCCCCTGGGCATTGCTTTCCCTTTGGGAGAAGCAGACCACGTGCATTAGATGAGATGCACTCTCAGAACTGATGTTTGCCCACTCTGCACCCACTCTCCTTGGTCTCCTCCCACTGGCTGTGGCACAGCCCCTGCACACTGCCCCCGACACTGCCCACTGCCGGCGCGCAGCCCCTCTCTGCTCCCACAGTCCCTTGGTCCGCCTGCCCAGCACACCAAGGGCACAGGAAGCGCCTGCTGAGTGGCCCTGTGATGGTGGCATGAACTCTGAGCAGGACCCACTTCCTCTATGACCTCAGCTTCCATTCTGTACCCACTGCCTAGAAGACATGGAGACCCCAACTCTGCTGCCAGTTTTTAGGAGAAAACAAGGGCAGATGCCACAGCGACGGTGGTCAGGGCTTGGTGGTCCACGGCCTCTGCCTCTCCCATAGTTTTCTGGGGAGCACAAGGAGGAAAGCATCACTGAAGACTCGCAGAAAGGGAGGGGTGCCGAGAAGGAGCTGGGAATCTCTCCTTCTCTTTCTTCTTTCCTGCCTCCCGAAGCAGGGCCCATGGCCATCTTCAGGCTGCAGGCTGTCCTTGGCTTAGTCAATGCCAGCTCCTCTCAGGCTTGCCAGCTGGGATGGAGGGCAAGTGAGGGTGGGGTTAGCGGTGGAGGCGAGCATCTTGCCCAAGCATGAGACTTGGCAGCTCCAGGGTCAGGGCGTTTGAGGTGAATGGCTGGGGAGCAGGGGCCTCCAGGGCCAGCCAGGTGAGAGGCTACTCTGATTTCCCGGTGGCCCTCATCACCGCCACCCTGCATGCTCTGCAGCCGCACGTGAGCTCCAAAGGCCCTGTGCGGCCACATTCTTGTGTCCCCATAGCCCACCCCATCAGGAGTCAGCACTGGGTACAACGGAGCCACACAGTGACACTGCCCAGGGCTGGTGACCAAGAGGCTGTGGTCCGACGGGTACGGAGGCAGAGTCTGGAGGAAGTGAACCAGTGAGGTCACGCAGCACGGGAGTCAGCGTGCAGGCCAGGGAGATGGAGCTGGGCAGTGAGGGACAAGGAAAGTCTAATGAGAGACAGAGAGAGCAAGGAGGGAAAGAGAGGCAGTCACAGGCAAGGACGAAACGTCAGAAGCAAGATCCCAAAAGGAGCAAGACTGGAGGGTGAGACAAAGAACAAGCGAACAACAGAGACAGAGGGAGAAAGGGGGGAGACAGAGAGAGACACGAGGAGAGAAAGAGACAGGAGGGGAAGAAGAAGAGACAGAGAAAGACCAGCAAAGATAAAGACGTGAAGTGTGCTGCTGATTGGTGGGACGGCGTGGGGCGGCCACATCCCACCCTCTCCGCCTAGGGGCGCTGCCTCTTGGGAGGCCAAGGAAGAGGCCTGGGTCCTCACAGGGCCCCAGAATGGCCCTTGGTCCCTCTGAGTGGCATCCTGCTGCTCCCCAGGACTTGCCCCCATCTGTTCTGTACCCTGCCCCTTCCCTGTTTCTGAATGCTGAGGTTCCGGCACCCGGCCTCCCACATCCACCTTCCTCCCACAGTCTCTGTGTGTAGTTTCTGCCCCAGAGCTACGGACTAGGTCTCACCCTGCAATGGTGGGGGTGCCAGGAGGCCCCAGGCACTGTGGGGGCAGGCTTCCATCGGAGGCGGCGGGAGCAGCTGGCGAGGGTGGGATCTGCCCAGCCAAGCACGATGGCCCAGTTTCCAGCCGTTCACTCAGGTGACAAGTAGCCGCTTGCTTGCTCAGGGCTGCGGCTGAAAGCCCAAGTAATGAGCCGGGAGCCTGAAAGCCAAGGGCCGGGGCAGGAGAGGCAGCCAGGTGGAAAGGCTGGCCCACAGAGTGAGAGCTGAACACACCCCTCTTGGGCTGCAGGGGTGGACACTTGGGCTTCTGAGCTGGCGGGGCCTCTCATCCAACATCTTGCAGTGTGTGCTCTCAGAACCCCATAGCAGAGTCATAAGGTGGTTTGTTAAAACGCAGATCGCTGGGCCCCACCCCAGATCCAGCAAATTAGAATATTTGGAGGCGAAGCCTGGGAATCAGCATTCTCTGCAAGATCTCTAGGTTGTTCCAAAATTGTGAAATCAACAACTGAGCTGAGTGCAAGGGCAGGCCTCACTGCAGGCTTTTAAAGTGCAAGTGTAGCTGCTCAGGGGCCACCAGGCAGCAGTCCTCAGGAGTATGTGCCCCCCCCCCCCCCAGCTATCGGGGCTGCTTTTCCAGCAGGGGTGGTGAGGGAGGGGTGGATGGAGGCATAAACAGAGGTGGTTCTTCCCCTGGCTGTGCATCCCGCTGTGTTGCCTTCCTCCCCTCCCTGCATTTGCCACCACAGGGCATCTGCGTTTTGTGAACAGATGTTATCCTGGGTTTCTCAGACCCTGGGGGAAAAAGCTGACAGGTTCTGGCTGCGAAAGCCCCAGCTTGAGGGGAGGAAGCTGTGCTGAGTGGTGAGACACTCTACCCTCCTGCATGAGGAGGCCACTTCCTCGCTAGAGAGCTGGGGTTTGGACCAGGTGACCTCTCAGGACTGGGACCCAGAGGCACCCGCCATTTCTAACCAGATGCTCCCAACGGCAGGGGCAGACAGCCACAGCAGCACTTCTGGCTGGCTGGCGGCTTCGGTCCAACCCTCCTCCAGGGGGATCACTGATCACTGTTTGCCTTCCTGATGGGGCCTGTGTCATCCTGGGGAAGGTGGCTGGGGTGGGACTGTGCTGTCTACCATAAGCCCTGCTGACTCCAGGGTCCCCATCCCCCTGGAAGCACCCATAAACCTCGGCCCTCTCCAGCACGAGCCTCTGTTCACTCCCTGAGCACAAGCTTCTGCCTGCACCGTCCCCTCTTTTTCTCACTCCCCTCTCTCATTCTCTGTCCTGCTGCTCTCTTCTCTTGCAGTGTCTACCAGCACTCCTAATCCCTGCCTTCCAGCCTTCTTTGCTGCCCTGGAATCCTCATGGGGAGCTGAGTGTGGACAGTTTACCAAATCCACCCTGCGGCCCCCACCCAGCACAGCCCGCAGTCCTCTCTCCTCGCTGGTCATCTTTAAGGTAAAGAGTACCACACATTCCCGGCGGGGTCTTTCCTGGTGTATCATCTCCTCATTTTACAGAAGACAAAACTAAGGCCCCAGAGGGCTTGCTCCACACTCCCACAGCTAGGCTTTCGGCTTCCTCGTCTTGGGAGGCCTGTCCCTGCCCCACTGGGCTCTCTCCTCTCCACTCCTGTGTGTGCATGGGGCAGCAAGGGGTCCCTCATTCCAGTGGGGGACGCTCCCTCCGAGCACCTTACTGAGTATGGCTCTAAGTGCTTCACTAAGCACGCAATGACTTCATCTTCTCAAGCCTATGCAATATGAACCATTATCCCAGTATGTTTTTTAATTACATACAAGACTGAAGTACACAAGAGAGGCAGCCCCGCAGGCGGACTGCACACATCTCATTCCTTGCTGGCATCTCCTGGACCAGGTGGCCCCCTGTGCCCTCCTCTCCCCCCACCCCGGCTCTCTGCTGCTCAGTGGCTGGCGCTAATGCATGTCTTCCTAGGGGCTGTGAGCTTACCCAGATGGCTTGGTGGGGACCTGCGAGAGGCCGAGGGGAAGCACGTGGACGCAGTTACACAGGCGTGCTTATTGGTGCGTGCGTGGGCAGTCAGCACGGGGCTCTGTGGTCACCCTGCAGGTTCAGAGCTGGCCTGGGTGCCTGGAGCCCACAGCAGGGGCCCACATCCCTGACCTCCTGCCTTCCCCTTTCTGGTGCTTTCTGTGCCCCGTGGCAGTGGCTGGCTGACTCTTTCAGCAACATGCTCTGAGCGGCTCGGGTGTGCATGGCTGTGCTAGGGAATCCGGTGTAAGTGGCAAGCAACAGTCTCTGTCTTGGTGCGAGGAGAGACAGGCATTAAACACAGTCAAAAATGATTCTTTATCTACAGTCATGACAAATTCTATGAAGGGAAAAGACAAGGTCCCAGAAGAGGACAGAGGAG